TTAAATATTTTGATATGAATATGAAAGATGATGGTTTAGGATTAATATTTAGAGAAAACTGTACTGTACTATCTCTTTTTTAAATAATTTTAATATATTTAATTAAAAGATCAGGAAATTAAGTAACCATATTACATATTAATTTATGTAAATTATTATGTAAAGTAGTACTTGTAATTAAAAACAAACGATATAAAAATTTTTTCTCTGAAGAGAATCTCTTTATATATATATATATTAGTGCTGAAATTGCTGTAACTTTAACGACACGAGCAATAGTGATACATCCAATTCCATTATCCTTTTAAGAAGAAGTTAGAACCAATCCAAGAAGAAGCCCTTGTATATTATCGAACCGTAAGCCAATAAGTCCATGCTCGAGAGTTTGAACGTTAATTACGGCCCAATAATCCCACTTTTCCGAGGATGATAGCGTAGAGGGAAGAACATCCTCCTCGAGGCGTATCCTTGACGACGCGCGAATTAAGAATCAACCTTGTCAGGCGGAAAAGTGGACGACGCCGTGGAACATCTGGTTGATCAGGAGTGTTCCTATAAATTCCCTGGAAAAAGACATCTGCGATGGTATGCATGGGTAGCAAAGAAATTCAGCTCCATAATTTAAAAATTAATATTTACCTAATAGATTTGCAAGTAGAATTACAGAAAATATTTCAATCTTCCAAATTCTTTGAAAAATTTGAAGTCGATAGAATTTATGATGGAATTTATTTTAATATGATTAGATTTTATTCAAGAAATATAGATTCACTATTTATTTTTCTACTTGGAATATTATATTTGATATAAAATTTTCGACCAATCCCATTTATCGATCGATTATATCTAACATAATAAAATATTTATCCATTCCAGCATTAGAAATCCCAGCGTTAATTAATCAGAGTCGATTCAACCAACTTGGTCGCCACAAAATTTCTCTTTCGACGCAAACATTCTCATCTATCACATACCCGGAAAACCCACATCAAACACGTACGTATCCGAGCCTCCTCCACGCAAGAAAACCGCCTGTCCTAAGGTTAGACGGAACAGGATCGAAGATCGAGGGTGAAAAAAAATTACCGGCAATTTTCACTTCGTTAAGAGGCCGAGGGCGTTGGTGATTCGCCCGTTTCCGGCCACCCTCCGCGATATCCACCCCTCCCCCTCGATCCAGGAAAATCCCCAGGGATCCAACGTGTTCCCCGTTTTCGTTTCCCGCCGCACAACCCTCCAGGTCCAGCTTGCGCGCCCTCTCTCGTGTCTCTCTTTCGAATTATATCCTTTGAATCTACAATTATGGGGCGCCGCAGGCATGCGGGACACGTTTTCGCGAAAGTTTGCGCGCCGAATACTAAAGCCACGTGGCAAACAGGATCAATACCGGTTGGCGGATGGTGGAAGAAGGCAGCGAACGATATCCTCCGCGTGTCCTTTTGGTTGGTTGCCTGCTCGTATCCTTCCTTCCTTCCTTCCTTTTCTCCCTCCTTTGCTCCCGAAGGGTTGGAGGGGATGGTTCGAGGACATCCTTGGTAACGGTAAAGAGGACGAGGGGGTGGTCTATCTTGCGTGACGTCAAAAAGCAGAGCCTCCTCTTCTTTTTCTTACCCCCCCTCCTTCGTCGAGGATTTTTCTCGCTTCCCTTTCCCTTCTCACGCATTTCAGATGTGAACTCGTTTCCGAATCCTTTGACCGAGAGTTTTCTGGACCTTGTTCCATTAGTCTGTTTTTCCTTTGACGATGGAGGAATTCGTGATGCCGGGTTTGTCCAAGTTCGGATGGAGCGAGAGAATTGGCGGTTCGTGAAAAGTAATTGCGTTAGTGATGGAAACGAGTGGATGTTTTGTTCGAAATATAGAGGATAATAGTGGGAAGTTGGGTCATTGTTTGGTTTCGAGGAGGGTTTAGACGAAGAATTTCTTCCTGGTTGATGAGGTTTTTATCTAGGAGATGGATCTGATCTAATTATCCGTGGAGCGATCCATCTATTTAGAGTATTTAATACGAAAGATGAATTCTTGGAAATGCGTTGGAATTAAATGATTGATTGGCTTTCGGTTTTAAAGAGGATAGAATTGGAACTTTTCTTGGTTCGTATGCTTAAATTACAGAAATTACATTTGTTCTAAATATAACTATTTAGAGTTTAAAAATACAGATACAAGAATTTATCTTGAGTTTTTCGAAATAGATAGGATAATATTTTCTTGAATATTTAATTTTGACACAACCGTTAGTTCGAATATTCTTTTTTGTTTCTTTCGGTTTCGAAAATGATAATCAGGTAGAGCTTCTTCTCTAAGGTTGAAAAGAAGATATAGGAAATGGATCTGATCTTGATGCGAATATGTGTAATGCACTCGAAGCTATCTCTTCCTTATTCTTGCTCTTTGTTCATGGAACTGCATAATTTATTTGAACGATGTGTGCTTGGTTTGCGTGACAGTGCAATTTTATGCTTGGAAATATCTTTCTTACATGATAAAACCGAGAGAATCAGTATATATATATGCCTCGGCAAGGTGGATTTAATCTTTCGAAGAAACAAGAATTTCCTGTTCTCTTGAAATTACTGCTTTAATTCCCTCGACCAATTTACATAAAAAAAAAAGAAACAGAGATTTCTAATGTTTTTAAAATGAGGGTCTAATTTGTTTTTAAAAATTCAACGTTTTATTTTATATTTATAATTTTTATTAAAATTTTTGATCCTTATATCGAATTTGCCTTTGTAATCGAGTTTCGTCAGAATATACTGTATGAATATTGTTTAAACTTGCACGAGATATCTATCTTGAACCAACGAAGCTATAAATTTAACCATAGTACTATCTAGAGGATCGTTAATACCGCAGGTTTATACCATTCTACACTGCACAACTGCTCTCGCAGGTAGCAAAGATATTCAATAAATAAATCACTATTCTCCATTCGCTCTGAACATTTATTCATGAACAATAAGAATGAACTGTAGCGCAAATGTTAAAAATCTGTTCTATAAGTATTAGCAATGAGATCATATTTTCTTGTCTTGGAGAAAAATTCTCCCTTCGTGTGAATTGTGCGATTCCTTGTGAATTGCAGAAATCACGTATCTTTTATATTGTAGATAACCTGATACAATATTATGTGTCTTTACGTATTCTCGTTATATTTATAAAATGAAAATTACGAATTAATTCAATTGTTAATCAATTTTCTTACGAAATATTTACGTATCACAAGGAAGAAGATATCAAAAAAAGGGAGAAAGACGATCCTTTTTTTTATTAAACAAATTTTAAACAAATACAATATTCATCAAAAATTCGTCCAATCAATTATCAATAATCAAAAAAGTGTTCGATAAACCACCATCCGTGTCATATTTTTCAAACAAATATCCGAGCAAATACGTACAATCCATATACATACAACGTACCCCAATATCAATAACGAAAAAAAAAAAAAAGAATTTCCCTCACGATTCAAGAAACCGGCCAACCATTCTCGCCACTTTTTCCATCATACATATGCTGACGCATAGCCCATCGAGTGGCCCTCGAAACTCTCTCATTTCCAATTCACACTCGAATACATCGCATAATACGTCTATTTCCGACGCGTATAACAGCCTCTCTTACGCAAACGCTATATTCTCTCCGCTCCATTGTCAAGTTTCTCGATTCACGCCTGCAAAAGCCGCTCGTTGTCCCATGACGCGTATTATCAAGCACGCGTGATGCGAAACTGTTGGTGGTGGTGTGCACGTATTGTTACACGATGCGACACTGGACTCTATCTCCAGATAATGACCTTTACACTGTCGAGAATTCGTGGCAGAGGGTGGCCGTAGAGGGCATCCTCGATCCACTCCTTGATTTTCAGTTATTGGATAGGTTTTGTCGATGGGAAATCGATCGAGAAGAAGGGATACGACTTGGCCGTGTTGTGTCTAAAGTTGTGTGGAAAGATTAGAAGGGAAACTGACGCGTGGGGGATTGAAAGTTGCGTATAAATTGAGTTATAATATTCGATGACAATGTTGATTGTTCTCCAAAGTGACGTGATTCGTTATTTTTTGCGAGGCTGGCGTTTTGACAGATCGATTTTGAAAGATTTTGAAAGGTTAAGATAGAGGCGTTAAGAGAGGAAGAAATTGAAAAATGGATTTTTCGAATAGTTGAAGGAATGGAATAATGAAAATAAGTCGATAAATTGATGTTGTATTAAAGTATTGTATAACATATATTGGAAACGATGATTGATTAATCATTATCGTTGATTAGAAGATGAGTGAAAAATATGTATATTATACCATGAAATTTTTATATTATGAAAAATATATTATGAACAATCACCTATCTTTGCGCGAGTAATTACATCAAATTATTATTAGGTAAATTAAACTGTGAAAGCTTCCCTTAATTTTCACTCGCCCTATAAAACGTGTAAGCTTTAATGGAGAAGTTTCACACGGTTCCCCTCATTTTTTAAAATTCATTTACTTTGCAGTAGCTTCACGTACCATGACGCGTTAAAATAAACGAAAGCGTTAAAATAAACAAGTAGAAATAATATCGAAAATGTATCCATAAAAAATTTAGGATACAAAAGTATACGTAAATTATTATCTAATAATGATGATTCCATATATTTTAAAATTTACAATGTAAATTGTAAAGAATGAAAATAGCTCGTAATCTTCAAATGCATTATTGATGTCGCTGCGACTCTCTGCTATATAATCATGCTTATAATAAATTAATAATTATTTAATACGTGTTAATGCAATTATTTGAAAATTCACGTAATCCTCCATTATCTCATTATACTTCAAAAGTGGTGCAAAATTGTATTTAAAGTTGAATTTTATTTACTAATTCGATATAAATTAACATTAAATAAAATAATTCGAATTAATTAATATAATGTTATATCATACAAAGAGATAAATATTATAATAAGTTACCAGCAAAGACACAGTTTTGCAAAATTGTTAAAGTGGAAATTTCAAGGGAAGACAAGTTGTTTGTAGACGATCATAATCTATTAGCATAATTCAGTTTTCCCATAGTTCCCTATGTGCTATACGCACACAGAGATAGATGTTATACATAAATTATACATAAGATACTTAGGAGAGACTAATTAATTAAAAAAGTAAATAAAGAAAGTAAACAGTGAAATTACATACAACTTCAACACCTTCGTGATTAAATTTCTTAGGTGTAAAGAAAAAATTCTTATTTATCAATTATTAGTGAACAATATTTATAAATTATTTTTCTTATTCCACGCAAAACAAATATACATTTATCTACTTAATAACTATCTAAAACAGTACATTCCTTGTATGCTGCAATATCGCGTACTTGAAAGGAATTAAATGCTAAAAAAAATAAACTTTGCTCAATTGGATAATCGATACATCCTACGTTTACATCTTCCAGTCATCCAAACACGGAAACGTATCTTTACCCATGAATTCTCGCCTCGATAAAATAAATTCGAGGTGACTGAACTTGACGGGAGCAGTCGACGCGAAATTTGCCCGCGCGACGTGTTTGCATATATAAAATCCACGGCAATCTCGATCACGATTCACAAATCGACTTCCGATCGTTCGAGATTCCGCGCGACATGTGTCGGTTGTTGGAAAAGAGAGGGAAAGAGAGGCAGGAATGGAAAATTCAACCCGAACAGGAGTGAAATATCCGGTGGAATTCGCACGATACCTCTCCAACCACTTTCTCGATTTAAACCGATCCTGTTCTCCTCGGCGACAGGTCAAACCGCACCACCAACCCGATTCATCCTGTCCAGGACGATAAAATAGAGAAGCAACGAGACGAGAAAAGGATTTTCGTCTCGAATGCATCGGTGGAAATTCGATCCTGTTCTCCTAGGATCGACCTAGTTCCAGGGAAGGAAAAAAAAGTAGAAGAAGAAGAAGAGGAAAGAAGGAACAGTGCGCTATATGCGGGGATGGAAAAGGATATAGGAAGTGACGTGACAGGAAAGCGTGGAAACTGAGAAGAGGGAATAGAATCGAATAGAAAAAGGGGATGAAAGGAAAAGAGGCGCGAATAGAAGGGGAGGGAAGACGATGGAAGAAGAAAGAGAGGAGGGTGGCCGCGGTTGAAGAGAGGAGAGCGTCGTTTCGAATTTCTCGATAAAACCACCCCTTCGTCCGCTCTTCCCATGTGAAACAATAGCGGAGAGTGGCGTGGAAAGACGTCTCGAATTTCGCTGAATCAAAGGTGATGCATCGAGAGAAAAAGAGAGAGAGAGAAAGAGAGAGAGAGAGTGAGTTATGTGGTAGGGGGTGGAGGAGGAAGGGCCTGTCTATGGGCATGGCCAGGGGTGAAATCGATTTTGTCTAGGGTCTCGCGTATTATCCCTCGCGGTTTTCTATAGTGTCATTGTTGTTGGAACGGAAGGAGGTTTGGTGGTGGGAGGTAGAGAGAATAGGGTAGGGAAAGAGAGGGAAAATCTGGCCGAGAGAAGCTTTCGGGTACGCAGGGACGTGGATCTCGTGAGGGACAAGGAGGGCGAAGATCTAGAGTGATGTAGAGAGGAGAGGAAGAGAGAGGGATGTTGTAGAGGGATGATTTTGGCCGACAGTCTGAGTGGCGCAGACACAAAGCCGGTGTATTACGTTTCCACTTGTACTTTTTTTCTAGTGTCTTCTCAGGCTTCTAACGCCACCGGTTATGGCCGCTTGTTCCCGCCACGGAACAAGAGAGTTTCCGCGTTTACTTCTTGCTTCCGGTCGGGCGGACAACTGTTGCCAAGATCTGAACGCGACGCTAATTTTTCCAAGCCCTTCTCCAACTCGTGGGGAGTTTTTTTTTGGAGATCGTGTTACCAATTAGCTGTGAAATTGGGGGATGTTCGAAATGATGTGTATTACGGGATTTTGACGAGTTTTTCTTTTCGATGGTGTCAGGTTTCAGGGGATGGGTGATGTTAAGGATTACGGTTGTTAATGATGTATAATATTATATGATATTACAACGATTGTATTGTTATAACATACACTTTTATCATATAAATTTATTTTATTTTTAAAATGAAAATTGTATGATATTAAAATTGGATATTTTAATTGATAGTTAATTTGGTTTTGGCGAGGTGGATAATATAAAATTATATTTGTTATGGATTGCATAGAGGATGAGGAAAAATATATATATCGTTTTATATTTTAATCTTATTTAAAAAAGTTATGCAATAACACGTTTTGCTGATATTATGATATGGATTTACAGCTACTATTATAGAATTGTATATTACGTAGAATAGGAAAAAGTTACTTTATATTTTAATTTAAAAATTTCGTAATGTTATTTTCAAAAGCGTCGTAAAGGATTTTAATAAGCGTTGGAAATTAAAATTGAATTGGTTAATTTGTAGTACGTTTGAAAATAGGGAACAAATTACATTTTTTTCTTCGTTTAATTAACAAATATCAAATAATAATATTTTTTGCGTATATTGTGAGAAATGAAATGAAAACTCGAAATTGAAACGAATGGTCAAACGTGATAAAAGTTGCTCCATTCTGATGATATACAGAACATTAGAAAGTGGAATCGCTACAAATTCTTATATACCTTAAAATAACAAGCCATATGTCTTCTCTGGATCTCGGGATCGTCGAAGTATTAAGGCAAAGCCCGAGAACCAATGTTTTTCACAACGTGGAACGCCGCGAGTATTCTTCAGCCAGCTCCAACAAGTTTTCTTCAAAGTTCTTTTGCTCTCAACCAAGCCTTTCTATTAACCTTGAGTCACTTTTCTCATCCAGCTCACTCGGCTTCTTCTCCATCTTCACAAGCCTATCTGGAACTATCGCAGTTCTTAATAGACCAAATGAAATTCAACAGGAAAAAGAAAATAGAAAAAAAAAAAAAAAAAAAAAAAAAAGAAAATATTCTCTATTTTATCATTTTCTTCTTTTATTTTACTTTGAAGTTTTTGAATAACTTATTAGATTTATAAATACCAATTTCTTATTGTTTTTCATTCTTATCAAGACATTTATAAGATTTATCTATATCGAATTCGTTAATTCATTTATACGTAGTTTTTTATTGCATAATTTAATTTCAATCTGGAATGTTTCTATCATTCTTTCGAGAAAGATGATTATTTTACTTCGAATTTTGACATTCAAATTCTAACAGTAGTGTTCATATTTAACTTAATCATTATTTTATTTGATCGATGAAAAATTAAAATATTCTTGAAAAATTTTCAACGTATCAAATTTTTATTTTATTCAATTTATCAAGAATTATTATCAAAGAGAATCAAAAATATTTCATTTAATTCAATTCCCAATTAACGTATTAAAAGTTTCATCAAAAAAATTCCTGGAATATCCAACTTAATTTAATTTCAATTTCTCAAAAAATTAAATTTCCCATTATATCCTCGTCCAAAAATACGTTTCTCGCACGTGGACGGCATCAATTGGTTGCTCGCGGCGTACCAAGTTGCCGAGAGATGGGGAATTAAAAGTTTCATTAAATGATACGAGGTGGACGGTGAACCACGTCGAATATAATGAACAAAGTTGGTCCGAAGTTGGCCGAATAAAATGAAATAAACCAGGTTGGGGTTCGAAAATTGGTGGTCGATGTCTTACTGGGCCGTGGGGACCGTATCTGTACTTACAGGACGTAGTCGAGCAGTTAATGCTGGCTTCGTGTCCTTTGGGCTTTTCGTGGTTGCTCCTCGAGGATTCCGTTTGATGCGTTCACTTGGCCAAACATGAACTTCGACATTATCGCCGTTTTGGACGCCAGCCATGATTTTGGTCAAGGGGATTATAAATAGTTTATGGGGAATATTGATGGAAAGTTATGAATTCTACATATCGATTATAATATTTTATCTTCGTGATACATCGAGAGATATATTCTAGACATTGTATTTATATTGTAATTTCGAAAGTAAATTTTTATATAATTTCACTTGTTTTATCTTTATTGTATATTCATTTTTGAGGGTGTGAAAGAATTCAGATATTTTTCTTTTTTGAATTAATATATATATACTTTCGAAATTACAATATAAAATAAATTCACGAAATATTATTCAAGTAATTACGTCAAGAAATTTTGATATTATGAATTCCTTTGATAAAAAAACGGCAAATATTCTGGTGGTAATAATGTTCGAAAAAAGTTGAGACCACCAACAAAGTTCTGCCAGGAAAGTGAGTAACGTCCATGTTTTGCGATGGGGAGGGCTTCGAATCCCTCTGGATTACGCGTGCCACTTTTTCAAACAAGCTAGCGAATAAAAACCCACAAATCTGATTTTACAATTTGTTTCTTTTCCATTCATTGCAAATAATATGTTATTTTTATGTTCAATAAAAATAAATTTTTATTCTAGGATACTCTAAAAAATATATAAAAATATATCTCTTTCATCAATTTATCATAGAAATAAAAATTCATTGACATTTCTATGCAATTGATCAATTCAATTAAAAACTTTATATTTTCACAAAAACATAAGTTTATTCTTAATAATATTCACATTTCTCAATGAATCTTCAAACATTATTCAAAAGAAACGTGATATAACTTCTTCGTATTAAAAAATTACACTTTTATCCAATTTTCTCCAATACTATTCACATCCCTTTTATTATTTTATTATTCAGTTCAGCCATTTCAATTCTCCAAAATTTAATTCTTTTCGCATTTCATTAAGTTCAAAAATCCTCCAACCTGTCATAAAAAATCACACCTTACTTTTACTCTCACAGTCAAACTCTCACAACTCTCTCTCCACAATAGTCACATTCATTATCCAAACTCAGTCCAACGACTCCAAACAAATCATCCGATTCCTCGAAAGCCTTCTACAACACATCTAACAATCCTCTCCCAATGTATCGCGTTAACTGTTCACTACCCTACACTGGATTTCTCCACCCAAAATTATACCTCCCTTCCACTGTCTCCAACCAACGAGCATACACGTCCCAGCACGAGTTAGGGAGTTAGCTCCTGCCTCTAAGAGGCAGTTTGTGCTTACCAGCACCAGTTACTAACGTTGTTCCACGAGCCTTCCTATAATGCTATCTTGTTCGAGTTAGCAGGCCAAGACTGTTCCTGGTCGGTAATTACGGGCCAGTTCCCGGAACGGTTCCGGTGCGCGTGCATGTAAACTGGGCTTAATTGTATCTTGTCCCTTCTGCCTCACCTGTCCTTCCCTCTCTCTCTCTCTTCGTCTCACGATAGACGATCGATCAATCGACCACGTGTATATCACCGTCCTCATTGTGCAATATACACGAGACGTGTCTGATCGTGGTGACACGATCGCGTGTCCGTTCTTTGGACAAACGTGGAGCATATGGAGAGGTATATATATGATATGAAAACTGTGTTCATTTTAAAATTGGACATACTTATTTGTGAATTTTTATTTCTCGAATATTTGGAAGTGAAAATTTAGATACGATTGTCAGCAAAAGTATATAGAGTATATATCGTTCTATAATAGTTTTCGAAATTTATCTACGATAGGAGAATGACAACAAAAACAGTGTGATGTAAATCATTAGCGAGTATACGAGGTTTGTTTACGTTTATTAAACTGTATTACGGAAGGAGTGTCGCAATTTTTGCATGTGTTTTCGCAACGGTATAAGAAGGATTGATCGTGTTGAATATTATTTCCAGTTATTGTACTGAAATCGTTTGGGAAAAAACGGATCGCGATGGATATTTTTGGAAAATGTGTAAAGCGAGTTTTGATTACTATACCTATCATAGGATCAGGATGTAAAAAGGCGAAAATGAGGGAAAATCGAGGGTGAAACGATGTCGAGCGGGGATTTGCGGGAGCCTAGGAAATTTAATTGAAAAACTTGGTTACGCCGGAAGCTGTGTGTGGCAAAGGATTAAAGGAACGGCTCGTCACAAATTGGATTAGCGGTCTCGCGTCCCATACTGGGTTGTTTCGTCTCTCTTTCTCTCTCTCTCTCT